AATAATACAGTATTATTTTCTTGCACAGTTCATGACATGTGTAAACAATTTACTTAGTAGCATGGGACAGGCTTAAATGGACCTTGTGCTTCAGCTCTCACAAGATTGCAATGAACGTGCTAACCAAATTATGTCTCATACGGAGACTTGACTAAAGTTCCGCTTCCAATAAAACTCAGATTGCTGACAGAATTACTTTATGTAAGGTTGTAGAACAGAGCCTCTTGCTTGTCTGCTGGCTAGAGGCAGCTCTCAAATTTCAGAGGCTACTCTCAGCTCCTCTCTGTGTGGTCTAACCCAACAGGGCCACTTGGTTCATCAAGGGGAATAAGGCTAGTCTTTTAGGAAGACCGAGCTTTGTGTAATATAATGTGATCATAGAGTGACAACCAGTCACCAAAGTCATATTTTACTGATTGAAAGCAAGTCAGAGGTCCTGCCAATGATTAAGTGAAAGAGATTACACAAAAATATAAATTGCTTAATAGGAGGCAGGGACTAAAAATACTGTCTGTCAAACATGATATAATGTCCAATGTTTTTATAGTAATTTTGAATGTGATTTAAACAGAATTACTTTGAAAAGGTGCTTTTTTATTTAATAAATGTGAATTTACAAAGTACAACTTGTGTATTGTTGTGGCTCCCCCCCCAACCTCCCTCCCTCCCGCGGCCCTCCCCTCTCCCACTCCCTCTCCCATCCCACCCTTCATCGAGTTTCATGAGTTTCATTTTCAATTACCTTCATATACAGAAGGTCAACTTAGTATACACTAAGCAAGGATTTCAACAGGCTGCTCTCACACAACCGCATAAGGTATAGGGTATTGTTTGACTAGTAGTGTTGTTTTTAAGTTTCATAGTAAAACACATTAAGGACAGAGATCCTATGTGGGGAGCCTGTACCCAGTGACTCCCGTTGTTGATTTAACAATTGGCACTCTTATTTATGACGTCAGCAATCACCCGAGGCTCTTGCCATGAGCTGTCTAGGCTATGGAAGCCCCTTGAGTTCACCAGAAAAGGTGCTTTTAAATTGTTTTTCTACAAACCATACAAAATAGAGGCAGTGCAGGTTCTATTCTGATTTTAAATTATGATAAATTGAAGATGGCCATTTCGTTATTATGCACTTTCTTATTTTATCTGTGATGTCTTTATGAAAAGGATGAGCAATTTACTGGAAATGCAAAGTGAGGAAAGATGGGACACTTTTACTATTGAAAATCATAAAATGTCAGTGACTCAAAATGTTGCACTATTCACTATAACAAGCCCTTTTATTCAGTCTGTAAACAAAATCATAATAGTTAAAATTGAGTCTTTCATTTTTCTTTTTTCCATTACAATTCAAATGATCTTCTAATAGAAATAAGGAAAAAGTTTGGGCATAGAGATGCTGAATTGATTCACCTAATTTAAAGCACAAATCCATGTATTTATGGAAAATTTCTGGTTCTTTTTCTCTTTGGAGACTTGCCAGGAATGTACTTCTCTTACTTGGAGGAAACTACTTGCTTCAACTAGTGAAATATGACCTCAAAGGACCAGTGCACAGGACAATATTTCCCTTCCATTGCAGGTGTTAGTAGAAAAACATGTAGGGAGGAAACATCCATTAGCCAGAGTGCCTGAATGATGAAAACAAGGAGAAATAATTTTCTGATATGCTGTGTTAGATGTGTATAGAGATAAAATGTGGGGACAGTGTTCCAGAAGTGTATCCTATTATTTCTCTTATGTCAAAAGAAACTAATGTAGTTAACACTTCATTATAAGAGCCTTTCAAACAGTTGTTAAGAAAAACGACTATTCAGTGACACTTGTGTAACCATGGTAAGGAACGCTTTTGTTCTGGACTATAGGAATAGGGATGTTTGAGGGTCCTCTAGTGGAGGGTTTGAAGCTGGGATCAACTGCAAATACAGGAGGGAAAAATAGAAATTGCTAGCTAAAGACCAGTGTGGGGATCTATGGATGAAAAACAACTGAGAGTAGACATCAGAGGTAAGGGAGAGTCTGCATAAACCAGCCTAAGAGGATCCTAGCTGAAGATGGGCCAAGGTGATCATATAACACCTGAGGGAGGTGGGGGATAAGGAATCTGATCAGGTGCCCGGTGGGATCAGATACTCAGTGTGAGGGATTTTTGCTATACTGACATAGCAGGCATCTTTGCTAAAAATTGATTTTTACAAGGGAAAGTATAGATGGGTCTAGGAGAAGATTCAGAAGACTGACTGCGAAGAATCCTTATCTACTTCTGTCCTGCTCAAGGAAAAAGAATCCTTTATTGTGAACACTGTCAGTCCATTTTCCCTTTCAGGTTCCTTTTCATCACTAAGAACCAGGCGACTCTTCAGCTGGGTCTGGTAGTGCAGGACATCTGCTAGATGGTGGGGCGAGCAGGCCTTAAGGAAGAGACTTTGGGGTCTATGAAGTCGGAACTCACAGGATGTTCATGAGAGTTTTTGTAAAATACTGCTTTTTTATACCTCCATTATAATACAAAATAAGACTGTCCATCATATATTCAACTAATTAGATGGCTTAGAAAAAAAATAGAAGAAACACTTTTGGAATGGGTCAGAATTTGTCCTCATAGACCCAGTAGAAATATTGTTTTTATAGAATTTTTCTTATATGTTAAAATGCAAATATTATAGGTATCATTATGCTATTTTAAATTCCATTGGACATTTATAGGCAGAGGAGGGGGACTTTTTCTCTTTTTGGTGTAACATTATATTTGAATGAAAATATTCCCATAACTCAGCTGTGCCATTGCCTGTGTATACAAAGGCTGTTGATTTTTGTGCATTGATTTTATATCCTGCTACTTTGCTAAACTCTTCTATGAGTTCCAATAGTCTCTTAGTAGAGAGTATGTGTTGTCCAATGTGAATTAATGCTATAACTAGTACTCAAACAATATTTTATACTTTATGTTCTGTGTGGGTACAAACTGATGAAATCTTTACTTAATATATACTAAATCGATCTTCTGTATATAAAGATAATTGAAAATGAATCTTGATGTGAATGGAATGGGAGAGGGAGCGGGAGATGGGAGGGTGCTGGTGGGAGGGAAGTTATGGAGGGAAAGCCATTGTAATCCATAAACTGTACTTTGGAAAATTATATTTACTAAATAAAAGTTTAAAAAATAAACAGTTTAGTGGCAATTATTAACTGAGGCTTTTCCCATAACTAAATACTTAGATTAAGTCATTTGACACTCCCTAGTCATAACTAAATGCCATACTCACAGATAAACACTGTTTTAATTTAAAAATTGAGGCAAAAATTGAGTAAAAAATGTCAAATATCTGATCTCAAGATACAATATTTGTAATTATATTTTAAAATTTTAAATTATTACATTCAAGAATAATTTGCGTAGCCAATTATAAAAGCATAGAATGAATCATTTAAAATATATATCAACCATGTAAAGGATTACAATGTGTATGTGTTTGTGTGTGTGTGTGTGTGAGGTGAGCATACACTCATAGGCAAAGCAGAGAGTTTACCTTCATTCTTTTGACTGAGACTCCGAATGAGATTTTTACTGTATCTAAAGTCTCATTTCTTAAGTGATTCTTAAGGATATACTTAAACTGAGTTGAAGGCATACAGACACACCCAATCTGCCTTGCTTCTTTCATTCCCATTCCCCTCCAACTTCCCCTTCCCATCCTCCCTTCTCCTCTTCCCTACCCTCTCCTCCTCTTGGTCCCTTAAGTTTGTTCTCCATTCTGTTTGCTCCTTCTCCTCCCCCTCCTTTCAGTGCGAGCTAATATGGATCTATGTGAGATGTTTTATCCAATGCATACAACCATAGGCACACACATACCTCTATAAAACAGCTTACCAAGTAATAACAAAATGAAGATAATGATTTCTCTGCTGGAATTAAACTTATTTTTGCAATTTTTGAGACACTATTCCATGAGTCTTCAAAATGACACTAAAATATAAGATTGATGTAAAGGTATTTTAGGGAAAAGAGACTGATCCTGAAATTACAGTCTGTCAGGGTGAATTCTTATACTAAGGGCTACTTATAAGAAACTAGTATTACTGGAAAACACTTGAGATATTCTATGATCTGCATGTTAGCTGGCAGGAAAAAATTCAGTCCCTGACAGGATAAGAGCCTTAAGGTAATAAGCAGCAGTTATAGAACCCAAAACAATCTGTTACTCAGATATTTTTATAAGAACAATGCTTGAAGTTCACGTTTGTATTTAAAAATAGACCATACAGAATATAGACTGGAAACCAATGTTGAAAAGTGATATTAGATAGAAATCATAAAATTCAGTTTTTGAACTCTGTGCTATTAAAAAAAGATGAAAAAAAATGGTATAAAGGAAGATTGCTGTATGACTATGCTTCAATTTATTATAACAGAATTATAGATTAATAACCCTCATAATTTATAAAAGCCAAGACAGGACCAAATTTCCTGGTTGTCATCATCAAAGCTCTCTAGAGAAACTTACGGATCAAAATGAAAATCAAAATTTTTAAAGATTTATTGATTTGAAAGAGTTACAGAGAGAAGGAAAGAGGGAGAAGGAGGGAGGGAGAGAAAGAAAGAGGAAGGGAGGAGAGATTGATCTTCCATCCACTGGTTCACTCCCCAAATGGCTGGGCCAGGAGTTTCATTCCAGTCCCCCACATGGGTGTAGGGACCATTCTCTGCTACTTTTCCCAACCAGCAGCATGGAGCTGAGTTGGAAGTGGAGCAGCCTGGAGTATAACCAGCATCCACATGGGATGTCCACTGTACCACAGTGCCAGCCCCAAAATGAAACATTTTGAAGTGATAGGAATATTAAATCTGAAGCTTATATTCATATTCTATCTTCAGTTGATATTCATAACATACATAACTTACAAGAAGACAAAACTGTGATTTCTAGTTATCTAATTTATCTTCTATAACATGCCTTCTATCAGTGATCTGAATTCTGCATGTTTAATATTTTCAGACATCCAATGACACCTTTGAAATTCCCCTCATGTTGACTGGAAATGTAGTGTTGAGAAAAAGGCTCAACTATGAAGATAAGACTCGTTACTTCGTGATTGTCCAAGCCAATGTGAGTATTCAATGTGTTTTATATTTCTCCTGTGAACTCATAAAATTAGGACTTGTCCAGAATGTGTGGGACACTCTGTGGGCGTGGTGGGATTGATTTCAAAGTAGTACCCTTGCCTTCAGTGGAATGTAACCATTCTTCCAGATGGGGAAGGGAAGGGAGTAGGGTTGAGAAAACTGTTTCCAGTCAGCACACAAAGACACCTCAAAAAATTCATGGAAAATGGAAATTGAAGTAGTTTATTTTTGTACAAAAAAGATATTCACCATTTACTTCAGTCACATTTATCACTCAAATTCTAATAATATGTTGATTGTCCATCCTGGTCTATTTCTCAAAATATGATCCACCAAATAAATGCAGTAGAATTGCCTTGTGAGTATGTTAAAAATGGATATTTTTAGACTTTATCCCCTGACTTTCTGAATAGAATTCTCAAAAGATGGCATGTCTGCATTGAAGTTAACTCTCTCTAATGGACTCTAAAGTGTACCCATGATGCAGAAACACATCTAATTGACAGTTCTTTTCCCCATGGTTATCAATTATTGAGCACTTGCTTACTAGGTATTAGTTACTATGCCCAGAATTGAAGTTTAAGAAATTTATCATAATATGTTAAGAGCAACAGCAGAAAACCTGAAAAAATATTCCCTTTTACAATGTGTGCATTTATTAACAGCAGTATTTCTATTAATTAAAAAATGTCCTTGAATTACATAACTTGGGCTGTTTATCTCACCAAGATCTCAGAGTCCTTTTATCCTTTTACTGTATCTTCTATGAAACTTGACTGTGTTTTCAATGCTTTATTTGCTGGTGCTAGCTGAATATCACAGCAATCAATATCACAACTGCATTTCCAGTCTGAGCATAAGCAGGTGGAATGGGAACAAAAATAGGATTCCTTTTATTTTAGCTGATTCCACTTTGTTTTCTTTGAGAGTCCCCTCCCCTCCACCCAGCTGGTCTTTCCAGATCTGGGTCATATCAGTCAGCACAGAAGGAAGGGGGTTGAGGAAGCCTGGATGTGTCAAAGAGGCATGAGATCGCCATCTCCTGTTTATACTGGGCACATTGATGACCTGGGAAAAATATGTATTTATCTGCAAGGGGAAGAATGGACTAGCATGTGTGCCAACGAGTAACAGGGCTGGCTGTGGGGAGCAACTCGGACTAGACTAAGTTACTGGAATTAAGACTTATTCTATGCATCTGCTCTCCCACAATATGGCGCTGGGAGAGGAGTAAACAGCTTCTACACAGCTGCCTCCAGTTCGACCAGTAACCTGCAGGAGCTGATCCTGCTCCTGATTGGAGGAGAGCAGTGTACTCGGCGTGTGGGTAGCAGAGTTGGGATTGGTGGAAGAGGACTATAAAGGAGGAGAGAGACAACATGCACCAGGAACATCTATCTGAAGGAACACCTGTGCAGCCCCTGAGAGAGCCGGCTGGCGGTGTGCCGCTCCCCCGCGGAAGTGGGGAAAGTGGCAGGGGGAACCGCCCTTCCATGGAGGTGGAAGGGACGGTAGCCAACCTGGGAAGAACCAGCAGCAAACCCGGGGAGGGCCGAGCAGACAAAAGAACAGCGCAGGGTCCTGTGTCGTTCCTCCACGAAGAGGGGGAGCGACATAATTGTGCCGTGACTTGGATAGGAAGCCTAGGCAGGGTTTAGTGTCGTTTCTCCACAAAGAGGGGGAGTGACACTGGCTATCAATAGCTACCAACATTCAAGAATTGGCATAAGTAGTCGCAGGGCCATGTTTGGAAACAGCAGTTAAGAAATCAGCTATCAAGCCATGTAAAGTTATCAAGAAAACTTAAATGTTTATTGCTTAAGGAATAAAGCCATTCTGTAAAGGCTACATAAGGTATCATTCCTATTATAATATGTAGTGTTCTAGAAAAGAAAGAGTGTGCAGACAGTACTGAGACCAGTAGTTGCCAGAGGTTGAGTGGTAGGAGGAAGGATAAAGAGATATGGAAAAGGATCCAGAGGATCTTTTGGGCAGTCACAAGATCGGTATGACACTAGAAAACTGGGTATATGTTGTTCCACATTTGTCTAAACCCATGGAATGTACAACAGCAAGACTGATTGATCCCTAATGTAAACTATGGTCTTTGGGGAATTTTGATGCCAGGAGAAGTTAGTCAATTGTGATGAAAATACCAGTCTGATGAGGGATGTTAGTGATGGGGATAGGAGGATATAGGTATTACAGGAGGGGTGCTCCCTCGTTATTAAGCTGTGCCCTTAAACTGCTCTAAAATAGTAAAATTTTTAACAAGAATTCAGACAGTATGACTCTGTTGCCAGCCTGATTCCTAAATATTTTGACCTAATTCATGTAGCAGGTTAGAAAATTAGTGGGAGATGACAAAATGAAAATATCCTCCATCAACTATTTGGAACAAGTTTATAGGCAACAAAGGTGTCAATAAAGTGCCAGCTTTAATTTTTGTTTTTAGTCTCAGCTGAAAGGGAACTGTCTTTGTGGTTAGAGGGACAGAGTGATGATAAAATTGTAGGTAGAGACATACAGATAAAACATATTGGAGCTGGGACTGTGGTGTAGTAGATTAAGCATCCACCTACAGTGCTAGCATCCCATATGGGTGACAGTTCATGTCTCAGCTTCTCCACTTCCAATCCAGCTCCCTGTTATGGCCTGGGAAAATAGTAGAAGCTAGTCCAAATGCTTGGGCCCCTGCACTTGTATGAGAGACCAAGAAGAAGTTCTTAGCTTTGGACGGGCTCATCTCCAGCCGTTGCAGCCCTTTGGGGAGTGAATCAGCAAATGGAAGACCTTTCCCTCTCTCTCTGTATATCTGCCCCTCAAGCAAATACATAAATCTCTAAAGAAGCATTGTAGAAAATTCATATTACAAAAATAAACTATGCAAGGGTTTTGAATAATTTATACCGTGAAAAACTTTTAATTCTATATTCCATGTATCCACTTATATATACATACACTTTTTTGTAAAGATTTATTTATTTGAAAGGTAGAGCTACAGAGAGACAGAGACAGAGAGAGAAGTTTTCCATCCTCTGGTTCACTCCCTAAATGGCTGCAATGACAGGACCTGGGCCAGTCTGAAGCCAGGATGTTTGTTCTGTGTCTCCCACTTGGGTTCAGAGTCCCAAGCACTTGGGCCGTCTTCTACTGCATACCCAGGCCATAGCAGAGAGCTGGATTAAAAATGGAGCAGCTGAGACATGAACTGGCAACCATATGGGATGCCGGCACTGCTGGCAGCAGCTTTACCTGCTACATTACAGCATCAGCCCATGCATACACTTTTCTTTTTATAAAGATTTATTTATTTATTTGCAAGTCAGAGTTACACAGAGAGAGGAAGAGAGGCAGGGAGAGGGAGAGGGAGGTCTTCCATCCACTGGTTCACTCCCCAAATGACTGCAACAGCTGCAACAGCCAAGGCTGAGCTAATCCGAAGCCAGGAGCCAGGAGTTTCTTCTGGGTCTCCCATGTGGGTGCAGGGGCCCAAGGACTTGGACCATCCTCTACTGCTTTCCCAGGCCATAGCAGAGAGCTGGATTGGAAGTGGAGCAGCCAGGTCTCGAACTGGAGCCCATATGGGATGTCAGCACTGCAGGCAGCAGCTTTACCCACTCTGCCACAGTGCTGGCCCCAAATACTTTTAATCTTTGTAAATAATGTCAGATTATTTTCAGTGTGTTGCTATGCATCACAGTCTCACAAATAATAAAGAAAAGTGTCAATTTACACTGCAATTTGAGGATTTACTTATTTGAAAGGCAGAGTTGGAGAGATTTTTCCGTACACTGATCTACTCCCCAAGTGGCAAATATGTCCAGGGCTGGTCCAGACCGAAGCCAGAATCCCAGAGCTCCATCCATCTCTCCCACAAGGGTGGCAGGAGCTAATACACTTTGGTCACTCCCTGTTGATTTCCTAAGCACATTAGCAGGGAGCTGGTTCAGAAACAGGGTGGCCAGGACTCGAACTGGCACTCTGATATAGGATACCAGCACTGCTGTTGAAAGCACCACCACACTGATCCGGACCCTATATTTTTAGTATATAATTTGCTTGTAGCAGTGTGTTTTGGACTTGGGATGCTGTTTCAGACTTGCATGAGGGACAATTGTGGCTATCTCTTAATATGAACTTCACTGACCTCATATTTGTGTCTTTGTTGGGAGCATTTATACTATGGAAAGTGAGAAATACTACAAATTAATGCTTCCTATCTCTGAGAGCTGGGTTTTGTTAAATAACGCCAATTTATTTCCAAATCTTGTGACAATTATATTTATTTCATCATAAGATGATGAATTTTACTGTATCAAATTTGTACAATAAAAATAATTTCCAAAAAGAATTTAAAATTTAAAAACAAAATGGTACATCTATTTTTCCAAGGTGCAATTCTGTTAGAATATATATATCAATAAAAACCCATGGAGAAATTGTTTAAATGAGTGCAGACTGTAAATTGCATTTACCAAAGCTAAGCAGGTTCACTGATAAGGCCTAAAAGAACATTTTTGCTTTTATAATGTGAGCTGATTGTTAATCACTGGCTGCTTTGTTCTCATATTTACCAACACTAATACAAATATAATTCACACCTCTATGTTTTTATAAGATAATGGTACCCGTAAACAGATATCTCAAGTATATAAAATAGATACCTAAGATAGAGATCTGTTATTTCCTATTTCTCTATGAATATTTTATTAATAATACAAAAAGCAATGCACAGTGTAATCTCATGTATTAAAAGCCTATATATTATTGTGGAAGCATAAGGAATATTGAAATACAAGTTATCAATTTTTACTAGAAAGTAAATGGTCTCTAAAAGTTTAAACAGTCTGGTGACAGATTATGAATATTACTCTTCTTTGACCTGACTATGCCTATGATACAAAGATGATACTGATTTTCAAAGTAACCACTAAAATTACTTATAGTTGGGAAATTCCTTTTTATGCATGTGAACATGTT